AGATTTCTGCAACTGTTTTACTTGGAGCAGGCTTTTTCATGTAGCCCAATTACAGTACATGTGACTTGCCAATCTCCTTTTTTAATTGGTCTTTCTTAAAAGTAAAGAAAAATCCAATGGGTGAGAGTGTCTCTAGACCAGGAAACTCCTATGTGCCAGCTTTAAAGTTTATACGCTTTATTTGCTGTTTTTAAATAGTTTTTCAGTATCTCTTCAGTAAAATGGTATTTACATTTGTGGGTGGGTAAAATGGGAGTTGAAAATGTTGAAGGCAGAGTAGATTTGCATCCTTAACTAAATAAGACATGCATAGTATGAGCTTTTGTGAGCCTGAGCTCACCTCATTACATGCTGTTGAAAATGCTCCCATTGGGTGTCTAACTTAGGGGTTTTGATGCATAAGAATAAACATTGTACTAGATGCCAGTTTTCCTCTGAACAACATACAAGAGAGTTGTAATGGAATTTGTATTTAAGAGCTTGTCAGCAATTTTACCAATTTGATAAGGGCTACAGAAGAGATGATAGTTTTATTTATGTAACTTGAGGTTTAAAGTTTTTTTTTCCTTTTTTAAAAATAATTTTCTTCAATAGACTTGGTTACTTTCCTAATCCATTTAGAATAAATCGGTTCAAAAACTTTAAGTTAATTATAACACATGCAAATTTGTCTTCTTGTTGAAACTACAAAATAAATTGTTATTTTTACATCTTTCTTATTGTCAACTAGCGTTAAAAGTTTCTTGTTTTGACTGAAGTCAGTGTGAATTATTCCACTGACCTCTATTAGGGGCACGGGCTTTCCACCAGGTTTAGATAACTGTTTCTGTAGCAGAGCTTTTTTGCAGGTTACTGATTCTTCTTTAATATATATAATACTTGATTCAGCTATGGAAGAGTTGCAAAATAAATTATTAAACTGTTTTGCAACTGCTTTCTGAGTAGTGACTCCAATGAGCATTACTGATATAAAGAAACCTTTAGATATGCAAAACTTTCTCTTAGCAGTCTGCTGGAGTTCTTTGAGTATGGCAACAAGCATGTGTGGATAAGGAGGATACAGTTGTTACAGTATACTTGGATTTGCAAAAAGCCGCTGACAGTCTCTTGCAAAAAGCACTGAAAGAAAGTAGGCTGTCCTGGAATCAGAAGGGGAAGAAGGCCCTTTCATGTACTGAAAACTGGTTAAAGGATAGGAAATGAAGTGTAGGATTAAATGGTGACTTTTCAGAATGGAGGAAGGTAAACAGTGAGGTCCTTCAGAGAGCTATGCTGGGACCTGTGCTGTTCTGCACATTCAGAAATGATCTGGAAAAGGGAGGTAGTTAAGTGGCAAAGTTTGTAGGTGATACAATTTTGTTCTTGATAATCAAAACTAAGGCTAATGGAGTTGCAGGAAAATCTCTTAAAACTGAGGGTAATAAAGAGCCATATCAGCACTGAAATGATCCCTGCCAAAGGGGGAAAAATAACCCAGGCTATACATCCCCAGTGATGGCCTCTGTATTAGTTATTACTACTCAAGAAAGATTTTGATGTCCCTGTGGAAATTTCTCTAAAAACATGAGCTCACTGTGCACTGGTAGTCAAAAAGGCAAATTAAAAATATTAAGAATCATTAGGAATCTATATGAAGAAATGGAAAATGTTCTTACATAAAATGTAGTACAGTCACATTTTGACTTCTGCTTGCAGTTCTGGTCACTCCATCTCAAAAGAATATACCTGAACTAGAAAAGGTTCAGAGAAGGGCAACAAAGATGATCGGGGTATAAAACTGCTTTTGTGCTATGAGAGATTGTAAAGGCTAGATCTCATCAGCTTGGGAGAGATGAAAGGGGATATGATGGAAGTCAGTGAAATCACTTTTCCATGGTATTCATGAATTGGGAACTGTTGTTTTATTATGTCTCAATAAAAGAACTAGGAGGCACCCGGTAACTTTATCAGACAGCAGGTTTCTAACAAAAAGAACTGAGTGTAAGAGAGATGCACATAATGCATAATTACCTTGTGGAACTCATTGCCCCAGGATATTTCAGAGGCTAATGGTATAACCAGGTGAAAAATGGATTAGGCAAATCTATGCGAGATTTAACAGCCCCTGGTGGACCTATGTGAGATGTGTTGTCTACTAATGGTGACTGGCAGGTTATGACAGGATGGATGAATTCACACATGCCCTGTTCTTTTATACTCTTCTTGTCAAAGACAGGCAGGGGGAGACGGGGAAGGCAAGCTTTATGGCAGGCATGCTACAGATAAGCCCTGCATCCTCCTTGAGCACCACTCAAATTCTCTTCCCTTATCCAATCTGCAGCTTATCTTTCTTCTGTCTGCCTAGTTTGCTGCTCTGCTTCCTGCTCCCTGCCTTATCTGCCATGGGCTGCCTGTTCCCTCCCCAGTCTGTCACATACCACACACAGGGGTTTCTGATGCCACTTATGACACCAGTGCTGCAGTTTGCCTATCCCTGCCGTAAAGAACCCAGTACATGCCACAGTTGGGGACCTGGTACTGGGCTGGATAGATCTTTATTCTGACCTAGTATAGCAGTTCTTACACTCTTCTCTTATCTACTGTCATGTCCTAAATTATCTTTGTTTTCCATCTCCTTTTTGACTCATTCTATTTAGTTGAAGCCGTAACCTAGACCACCAAATTTCTCTTCTGTTTTACATTTATCCTAGAAAACGATTAATTGTTTTAGTGACAGTGGTTTTGGGAAATACAAACTAGAGTTGGGTCTGGTGTCTAAGGTGGTGGTATAAGCTCCTTGAATTCTTATTAGTTTTGAAGAGAAGGACCTGCAGAATGCCTCTGGGGACATTAGATTGTGAACTAGTTCATCTGAGTTTTTGCTATCAGAACATTTTATAGATGAAATTGAGGGAGAGAGCAAAAAAGGATGAAAGTCTAGAAACTTGAACAGAGTCATAAGCCAACTTTTTTACCTGAGGGCTTGTATACAGCCTCTTTTCTCCTGCCAAGGCAATATGGAACTCCAAAAACCTGCTTGATCGAGTAGGGAGGGGGATCTGTATTCAGGAGAAATTGCCTCAAAATGAATGAAGAGTATCTTTTAATGATGTATTTGAGTTGGGTAAGTACTCTTGGATGTTTATGTTCCTGTGGGTTTTACCTTGTTTCCACCTTAGCTTGTGGTTTAAGTGAGGTGAGATGTATGCAGCAACCTCCTATTAAGGTGGATGTGAAGGCTAGAGTTGAAGTTGGGTATGCTGAGTGATATGCTGCTTGGGTGGACAGGTCTGAAAGAGTTCTGGGTTGCATGCTTCCATCTTTGGAATAAATGTCTGTCTAAGAAAAGGCCCTTGCCTTGAAGGTTGGTTCTTGTGCTCCAGTCTCATCAGTGCCCCTTCAGTGGCTTTTGTAGTATGGTGGCAATAATAAGTGGATTCTGCATGAGTTGGTAGGCAGGCATCTTTCTTACTGGTGAGCATGGTGAGCTAACCTTCATACTGGTAAGGTAGATGAGATAACACTTTTCAGGGATACATTGGGCAACCGTGACTTCCTGTTGGATACATCTTACTTCTGAACTGTGGACATCCTTTGACAACGACCCTGTTCAATTCCTGTTTGTAGAGTCTATAGTTAGGAATGCCTTTGACCTAATTATTATGTCATATGAAATTGGCTCCGCTTTCTCCAGATGAATACCTAGCTCAGCTTGAGCTGAGTGTGCCTGAACTCAGATGCAGATGATCTGCCAGCCTAATGGTGCATTTGTTAGCTGTCAAGTGGCAGTACCTGGTTAACAGTCAGTAAAAATACACATCATGTGCAAGTTTGTGGGGTTTTTTGCTGCATCTTGCAATTCCATCTGAGTTGGTTTCTTTCTGTCTGGTTTTGATAGTCACCGAGATTTATCTGGGTGACTTGCTATCTTATAGATTATTGCTTAAGAACTTCTCACAGTGATTTAGAGGATGGAATGAAGATGGTAGCCTTGTAATAAATAGTTTGACTGCTCTCCTCACCATCCTGGCAGAAATTTTCGGGGATGGAAGGTGTTTTATCATATGTATAGGTCACTGGACTGGGTCTTGTATATACGAGCTGATGGTCCAGTATAGATGGAAATGCAGGGTGGTAAGGGATGTCAGCATCTTTTACTCTATCTGCTTGATATGAGATTGGTTCAGATACTT